TAAGAATGATCCACTTCCTGAAGTGCTCTTATAATCAAAACTTAACAAATAGTAGCAAATGGCGCAACCATGAAGAACACAAATTATGGATACAGAGCAAAATTTTGAACAAGAAATTAGTTGAACATCGTTGTAGGGGGAAAACGCCTATGTAAAAGCAAAGGGGATAACAAAACCCATGGTAAGCAACGATCGGTGGGAACATAGAACTAGGTAAGCGTTCTGTTGGTAGAAGTTTAAACAATGAATAACAGAGCCTATCAATGTGGTTGGTCAGCTAAGTAACAGGGCTCAATGCCAACAGCATATACACCTTGTTATGCAATGGTTAATCGAGGGATATCCCGTTCATTACCGTGTCGTCTGTGAAAATGTATTCGCTTAAGAACAGATATTCATTTGCATTAATCGAGCGAAACAAATTCACTAGAACATCTTCCAATAACATAACTAGAGATATGTAGACTATAATTAACCAAATGAAAACTAGTGGTGAAGCCATCAACTCACCAAGGGGATTGATTTCTCCTCCGTATCCCTGAACCCGAACAACCTCCTCAAACGCCACAGCAGCGTCTCTCGGCACGCCATACCATGTTTTCCCCGCCCCCATATGCAGATAATTTAAGCTATGCAAATCATGGTCTTCTACATGCCAAGCAAACCAGCTAAACAGCATAGCAACATACACCATTGGTGAAGTAACGCCTGGAATCTCTTCCTTCATAAACTTCAACAGAGACCCTTTGGCCCTAGACACTGCCCTCATGTTCCACGCCGTCTCACCAAGCGTTGTGCCATCCCCTGCCTCCCTAAACATCTTTGTACTCACAGGTACAAACGCAGAGCCAGGCATATCATTCGCATATTCCACCGAAAAGGGCTTATCCAAAGTAGCCCTCCAGTAGAGCGTCTCGAGCTCCAAAGGCGAAAGCCCTCCTTTCTTCGTACATTTCTTCAAATAACTCTTCTCAAAGGCCTTCGCCTTAGCCTCAAATTGCTGAAATGTGTAGTACTCGCCGCTCTGCCACACTGGTTTTTGAACCGGGCGTGTTTTTCGCGGGCAAAACCCGATCTGCTGTTGGCGAGTAGTGAATGTAGGCGGAGACTTGGTGTTAATCGAGTCAGAACATGGCGCACGAGCTGCAAGCGACTTATTGAAATTGAGAATTACAGCTTTCTTCGGCGAAGGAAGAACAGGGGGCACAATTTTGCAGATTCCAAACTTGGAAGCCTCTTTTTCGATCTTGAAAATGTATGAAATTGGATCTTGAAACTCAGCCAAAGTAGGGTGATATTCAGGAGCGAGAGGTAGGGTTTTTAGCCAAGAAAGTACCTCTGGAGTCGGCTCGGCCGCCATGGCGGAAGCTGCCATTAACAGAAGCGAAGTAGAAGATGAAGTGCAGCAGGGTTTGTCATGCAAGACCCATTTCGAACGAAGACGAACAGAATCAAAAGGGAACAAACAGGGTTTCTCACATTCGGAGTTGGAAATTTAGGGGTTTTTCGATTCGGGAATCTTGAGGAAGCAAAATTTCCCCTGTTTTTGCAATCATACAGAGGAAAGGGAAAGAGAGGAACCAAAACCCAGAGGCGAAAAAAGAAAACTTTTATATTTTGGGGGCAGAGGAGAGAGTGAGAGAGACTGAGAGGTTGGAGTAGCGCTACACATGTGAGTGGGAAGGGGATTTATTCTGGGTTTGCGAACGCTTCTTCCATTTGCCCTTCTTTTTCCTTTTATTTACGCTTTTGCCATTCATTGTAAGAAATCGCCCCACTCCTTTGTAATTGGGTTGTACATTTTTTAATCTCAAATCGTTTTTATTAAATAATTAACTCAATCCAACCCTAAATTTTTGAATCCAGTAGATTCGGGTTATAGTTTGAATCAATTATTATTTTTTTTGAAGTAAGATATTTAATTATTTATGACAATTCAACTCAATCTAGATTGAACGGAATCATAAATCAATCCAAACCGTACGTTGGATTTGATTGGATTCGTTAGATTGGTCGGATTTTTCAGATCATCAAATGTTTTTAGAGCGTTATTTAGAGGTTAAATTACAAATTTATTTATTTATTATTATTATTTTGTTGGGTTTATTTGGTATATAAAAATTTTAAATATCTAATAATAGACAGATAAACTTTTAATTGTGGGTTTAATAAGTATTTAAAATTTTTAAAATTAATTCATCTATTAGATATAAAATTCAATTCTATATTTAATGAAAAATAAATTTATAAATTTTAAAAAATACAAAAAAATTAAAAATTTTAAAATTGAAAGATCGATAAAATTAAAAATTCTAAATTTATCTTAAACTTTTAAAATTTAAGAATCAAATAAAAAATATTCTAAATTTCAAATAAATAAAACATTCCATTTATGTTTTATTAATTTGGACCAATCTTAAATAACTGTTGTATCATTTACCTACCATTCAACTTTTGAAATTCATCTACTAATTTTAACAAATATAATATATATATATATATATATATATATATATATATAAACTCTAATTATTTTGCATAAATATATCATTAAATTTTAATCCGTACATAAATCAAAAAAATCTTTAAACTAAAATTATGATGTTCGATGTAAATACAATATAAAATTACGATGTAGAAGCTCACGTTGTCACGACTAACCATGATCCACTATTGGAATTGTAGAAACACATTCAAACATAAATAATGTTGTTTGTATCACTTTAGTACACACGTAATATATGAGAGACTCGTACTACTTTTATAATTTTTGGGTCTTGTTGAGCATGCACCACTTTCATACATAAGTAGTATCACTTCATATGCATCGACCCTACTTTAGATGTTTTAATGTCGGTAGGGATCTAGAAGAGTTGTAGAAAGAAAAGAACATGAAATATATCTTCTTCTTTTTTTTCCTTTTTAGTTTTATGTCTACAAGAATCAGATAGGATCCTACAAGTGTAAGACGCAAAATCAAGCTTAAATGGAAGAAAATTGACCCGAACAGGACTTAAATGGTGTTGAGGCAGTATGACGAGACAAAACTGTAGAGAACCGATCGAAAAATTCCTTCAACAGATCAAAATTTATTTGATTGTTGATTATTAATCAATATTCATTGATAGAATCGATTTGACTGAACCCAAAACAGAATTGACCAAATCTGTGATATCCTACATCGGTTGGGAGGAGAACGAAACACCCTTTATAAGGGTATGGAAATCTTTCCCTAGAAGAAGCGTTTTAAAAAGCTTGAGAGAAAGTCCGAAAAGGAAAACCAAAGATGACAATATCTGCTAGTGGTAACAAATGATATAAGAGCTAGACACTGGTAATGTGCCAACGAGGAGGTTATTCTTCGAAAGGGAGTAGACACGAGGCGGCCCTAAAGGGAGATGGATTTGGTGGGAGTCTCACATCGTGGAGAAAGGAACGAGTGCCAACGAGAATGCTAGACCCTGAAAGGGGGTGGATTATGATATTCCACATCGGCTGGGGAGGAGAACGGAACACCCTTTACAAGGGTGTGGAAACATCAAGCCTAAGGGAAAGCCCGAAACGAAAAACTCAAAGAGGACAATATCTGCTAGCGGTAGGCTTGGTCCGTTACAAAACCCCCGCATGGCTACTCCTTCGAGTTTTTCTACGAGATCGCTTGCAACCGTTGCATTGGAGTTCCAAAGAACAAACACAAGGTCAAACCAACACTAGAAACACAATGGTTTGACTTTGATGAAAACAAAAACGTTTCCTTAAAAATTAATTTTTAAAAAAAAACAGAGCAATAAGTTTGTTTTATCCAACATGTCTCAGCAATGGAACAATTAATACTGTAATTTCAGTATTGCCATGAACGTCTACCATTCGGGCATTAATTAAATTACTATAAATACCCTTTATCCTTTCCTTTTTTTTTTCCTTTTTTCTTTTTTAAATAAATCAAAACTAATAAATAATTGAAAAAATAAAACTAACCTAAATGACTATTGAGCATCTGACCGGTTGATGTGGTGTTGCTTACTCATCACTCAATATCTTGTTAGAAATCACGGATCTCCACAATGGTATGATATTATCCACTTTGAGCATTAAGGTCTCATGTCTTTGTTTTGGGCTTACCCAAAAAATTTTGTACTAATAGAGATAGTATTCTTTGATTATAAGCTCACGATTATTCCCTAAATTAGCTGATGTGAGACTTTCATCCAACATATCTAACCAAAAAAGAGAAATTTCAATTATAATAATATAGAATCGTAACCGTCTAAGCTCATCGCTAGTAGATATTGTCTTTTTTGGGTCTTCCCTTTCGAACTTTCCTTTTTAAAACGCGTCTACTAGGGAGAGATTTTCATAGAATGTTTCGTTTCTATTATAAGTCCTTATAAAGATGTCACACCAGTTGGAGAGGGAAACAAAACATTCTCTATAAGGGTGTGAAAACCTCTCTCACACCCTAGCAGACCCGTTTTAAAAATTTTGAGGAGAAACTTAGGAGGGAAAGCTAAAAAAACAATATTTACTAGCGATTGGCTTGTGCCAGAAGAAGAGGATGAAATAATCCTCAGATTCCAGTAGTGTCTGTCCACCAATCATAGTACTGCCCATGAAAATGATCAAAGCTTCATTTTGAAGCCTACAAATAGGAAAAAAGTAAAGTTCAAGAGATTCAGAACGATGTGTTGTAATCCAAAAAGACATGTTAGCTGCTTAATAAAGGAGCTCCTAATAACTTACTGAATGAAGGGGCTTCTAACATAACTGGCTTCTAACAGAACTGGCTTCTGACAGCCGAAGAGAAACAGGACAATGATCCGTAGAATCCTACATGAATGCAAGATTAGTATTGATGTTAGACATATATCATCATTATAGGTTTGAATCTTGAATTCTATCCCTTGGGCATACGGCCTGACAAGCCTTCCCTTTTCGTCGAAGTTTAATGGGCGTTGCTCCGTTCCCCATTAGATGTGAGTTAATTAATACTCAGCTGGTCTTGCCATTTGACCTCTCTTCTCGTGTGACTAGAAATACTCAGTGACAACCTCTCAATTGTCACTGCCCGACCTCTCTTGCTACCCACAATTAAATCGTAAGCTTAAACAACTTATCCATGTATTCAAAGAAAATTATTCAATTTCTTAACCAAATCAACGAATCCTTGTATATTTGTGAGATCTCATCTATGTTGGAGAGGAGAATGAAGCATTGTTTATAAGAATGTGAAAACCTCTCCCTAGTGAATGCGTTTTAAAATCATGAGGGAGATGGCGATACGTAACGAGTCAAAATGAACAGTATCTGTTAGTAGTAGACTTGAGGTTTTACAAATGATTTTAGAGTGAGTCACCAAACGTGCAAGACACTGGTCGACATAGAACTAGACTCTTTTTATAGTGGACACGTTTTAAGACTTTGAAGTGAAGCTCGGAAGGAAAGGATGATTTTGATAGTTCCACGTTTCCACTACAACGTAGTGTTTACTTAGTATGAGTATCAATAGGATTGGCTCATTTGTCAAGGTATGAACTCCTTGTACTAACTATCTACCAATGCTAAAATGGTATAACTAACCACCAACATAAGTTCAAGGGAGCAATTCTTATACCTTTGAAGATAAGCAATTCCAAGGTTTCCAAGACCATCACTGTGGTTAGGGACAATGGCCAACATGGATGACAACACTGAAATGGCACTCCCCACGGATCCACCGTGAGGCTTGATTTCCTCAAAGTTTTAAAATGCGTCCACTAGGGAGTTGACGAAGTTTCACACCCTTTTAAGAATGCTTGGTTCCCTCTCTCAAACCGATGCAAGCATTCCCTTTCTCAAACCGATGTGAGAGCTCACGATCCACTCCCATTAAAAAACCACCTCATGGAGAGATTTTCACACGCTTATAGAAGAATGTTTAGTTCTCTCTCCAACCTAGACCTCTATTTAGTAGGCTCAAAACCTCACGCTTCACACCCTCTCTAATACAGAAATCATATGGTAAAAGGTAAGCAAAGCAATCAATGAGAAGAAGATCTGCAACTTCTTCAACAGTATATTCCACGAGTTAAATAAGACAAAACCAAAAGAAAACCTAATCTACTCTCGATCATGAAACAAGAAACACTAGAGAGAGCGAAAAAGAAAGTGACCTAGAGATAGTCGAAGCTGAAACGTGAACGAAACTGTCTTCGTCCATTTCTAGAGGATCAACGTTGAGTTCAGCAAGAATGACAAGTGGGAACTGTCGAATCTCCATTGTCTTGAGACGCATTTCGAGAATACCTGGAGCTTTTCCGCGCTAAAAGACTTTGTGTTCGTGTATTAGAATGAAAGAAGAACCTTGTTTGGTTACGCAAATTTCCCGGTCGCTGTTTGGATGAATTAAGTTCTTAAATGCTAATTATTATTATTTATGTCAATTTTTATATTGAATACTACCTTGGTCCGAGGAGGTTCAAGAATTCTACATAATTTTAAATATATTTTTTCCTCTTTGCAGGAAATTACAACCAAATTAAACTGTCAATCTCATAGGGATTTCCCGGCCTTTAGTCAATCTCATAGGAATTTCCCGCCATTTTCCGGCCGAGTAAGTGAAGAATCCGAAGCGTGCACAACTAATGTCAAGGTTCAACACAAATAAATGTCAAAGTTTGACACAACTAAAGCGTGCACATTTGCAAGCTCTTTGGAAGGAGTTTCAAATCCTTCACAGGAAAGCAAAGCAAGAGAATCTATAAATGAGTATTTCGCTCGAACCTTACTATAGCCAACAAGATGAAAATAAATGGTGAAATTTCTCCCAAATTCTTCTTATCTTTCGAGTTTCTCATTCCTAACATTCCCAAGACAAGGGAAAAACGTCTCGTCTTGAAAAACATGGAAGAGAAGCTTCCCGGCCGAGCCAGTGAAGAATCCAACCCAAGCTCAAGGGAAAATCAGTCCCTCATCCATATATATTGTCGATCCCGAGGAAATCAAACCAGAAAATATAATGAGCAAGAAAGGTTGATGGCCACATGATAACACATGAAGCTCTTAAACTCAGAAATCTAGTGAAGGAAATATAAAGAGATTAGTAGTAATTAGTGAAGGAAGTACTGTCCACCAACCCTTTCATGTTGTGCGAAGCAGCAGAGCAGAGCATTATGAAATATAAAAGGGATCCATCCTGTCTAAAACAACATGAGATATCACGACATTTGGCCTAAAATTCTGAACAAGAAAAAGAAACAGAAACCGAGCTTTTTATACAATGGCAGGGGATCATATCATCTCCTTATCATCAGACCACCGCTAAAGTAATAAAACAACCATCATCATCAGGAGGAAGAAGGAAGAAGGAAGCAAAACACCCATCATACCTACTCTTCTACTACTACTACTACTACTACCTTGAGATGAGAGGGGAGCCACCAAGCAGGCACAAGCTCGCTCGCTCACTCCTGGCGCCTCCTCGACACAATGCAGAGAGAGATGTAACAGGCAACAACATGCTTGAGATAAACAATCTAAAACTCTGTTTTTCCCCCCCCTCAGGAAGCTACAGCCAAGAGTACGGAAGAATCTGCAGCAGCAGCAGCTGATCCGAACGATGGTAACAGCCATCCTTTCTTCTGGGCGTGCTCCACGTAGAGAGTAAACTTCTTGCCTGCATTTGGAATGTCGAGTGCCAGATCGTCGAGACTATCTTTGATCCTAGAGAAGCCTTTAGTCATCTGGTTGATGGTGATCAGGCCAACATTGAAGCATTCCTGCAGCAGATCTAGAATCCTGTCATTCTTCTTCTCCATTGCCATGACCAATGCCTTCTTCACAACCTCGTGGTTGAAGAAAGGCATTCCCAGATCGCGGATGCACTGGCAAGCTTCACTCACGACCCCTCCACTTTCGTACTCCTCCAAGAGCTTCTGGATCTTGTCCTTTGCATCCTCCACTGCCCAGCCAGTTCCTCCGCCCCAGCATCTCAAAAGCCTTTCACCAGCATGACGAGCTGCAATTAATGACCGAGCCATTCGCACGGTCTCACTTCCAGTGCAATTTGGGGGCAACCTGTTAGCAATATCCTCCAGATTCAGAGGAGCCAAGACATCGTCAATCACCGCTCTGGCTAGAAAGAGAGCAAGCTCATTTGATGCATCCAAAATGTCCAGCGCTGTATCTTCTGCAGACTCCAGCAGCATCACAAAACCATTGACAATATCCTCTGTAGAGAATATCTCAATGTGAAGAGCTGAAAGGAGCACCGAAGCCATTTCTTTTTCTCTGTTTTTCCTATCCATTGCAAGTGTAATCAGTCTCTTCAAAAAGATTGGATTATACTCGGGTGTACCGAGATCTTCTAGGCTTCGTAATAATTCAGGAATGTCATCTGAAAGAAAATATTCATGAATTATAGTCACAGCCTCTTCCTTATAGCGTCTCAGCTTTTCATCTTTAGATCCAACATCCACATCTTCATCTGAAGATTTCACAAAGGAAGCATCAAGCCATCCCTCAGATATGGCCCTTGGAATCAAGGATTCAAACAAAGATTTCGCCGATGGAATATCAAGAGCAAGGTCATCGAGGCTCTCTGCCAGCCGAGAAAACCCCTTAACCATTTGACTAGAGCTTATCAGACCTTCCTCAGCAGCTTCCTTCAGAAGCTTCAGTATCAGGGGTTCTGCTGTTCGGATCTCCATGGCAAGAGTCAAAGCCCTCTTCACAACCTCGTGATGGAAGAATGAAACACCCAACTGCCTTATGCATCTGCATGCCTCAGAAGCATCTCCACTCTCAACATATTCCCGTAAGAGATAAGCAATCTTCTTCTTCACTTCCTCTACTGTAAAATGTGTGCTGCCCCCCCATCTTTTCTCCACAAGTTCCGCATGATGTGGAGCAGAGAGATAGCTCTTCTCAGCAGTTTGGATAGCCTGACTTCCTTTGGATGATTCCAGCAATGCTTTCTTTGCCCTGGCTAAAAATGCTGGGGGAAGTATATCATCAACCACAGCACGAGCTAAGAACAAAGCGAGGATATCAACTGCATCTAATATATCCACAGCAAGATCATCAGCCGATTCAAGTAACATAAAAAACCCATCCCTTATATGGGCAGGACTGATGACATCAGCATACAAAGCAGAAAGCAGAACTGAAGCCATTTCCTTCTCCTTATCATGTCTGTCCATTGCCATTGATACTAGCCGTTTAATAAAGTAAGGATGATAATCACTTGAGCCTAAATATCCAAGATCAGATGCGGCCAATTCCACATCACCAGTACTAAAGTATTCCTCTATAATGGAAACAACAGATTTCTTATAATCATCCAAAGGATCTGATACAGTCGACCCAATAAGTTGGTATGGTTCCTATTAAAGAGAAAATTTCAAAGACAGAATAAATACTCAGATCTGGAAATCACAAGTTTCTATCATCAAACCTCAAACCTGACTTAGGTTCATAACAGTACAAACATCGCTTGATTGGACAATCATAAAAAAGAACAGAAATCAAAATCCAACTCAGTATTGAAAATACCTCGCCACTGTCATAATTAGGATCATTTCTGTCAATATGAGAATCACCATCAGTGTCGAGTAATTTACCCCAGGTGCCCTTACCACCAGCCCCATCTGTCAACATACTAGTGGTTAGAAGCATATGAACAGGACAAACTGCTTAAACTACACCTAAGAATATAGATGTTATCATAGATGTTATCATGTATAGTCAAATAAGGTAGGACTTTCAAACTATTGGAATATTGATTGTAGAAACTAGAAATCAAAATGTACACTGCGAGATGGCCAAGGAGAAAAGGGCGTCAAGAGATTTCACAGGCAATTCTAAAAATACATTAAAATCCAGTTAAATAATCATATAGTTAAAGAGCACCGCCTGGGGAAGTAGGCCTAAGAGAAATTCTGAGCACAGAAATATAATCATAGATATTAACTACTGAACGCATAAATATGATAATAACATAAGATTTATCAGAAACTGCTGCAGTTAAAAGATCGTACATTCAGAACAGCAAATGATCTTCTATAAGTCAACATCTAATATTAATTCAAAGAGTCAATAAATAGTCTTGAGTTCTTTGCTTGCTGTTTATGAAGCGTTCAAATAGAACACATTAAATTTTCAGATACTCTCTAACTAATAACATCATTCAAAAGAGACACTTCCATTCTCTTCAAATTTGCTTTGCTCACAACAAAATCAGTAATACAATGTTGACAGATGAACTCACCCTTTTTCACCCTAATATGCTTCCCAGAGTGTTGTCTACGCACATGTTTCACTCCCATTCCGGGGGCCGGTACCTTCCCACCAGCAGGGGCTTTAATATGATATTCAGGAAGTAGTGAGCCTTTGGGAGATTTTGGAGAGGATGACAAAACATCCACATTCTGACTCGCTATTTTCATCACTTCCCGCTGCTCCTCAGTAAGGAATCCTTCATTTGATGCCATTTATGCTGGAGATCCTGCGTGTAAATTATAATTCAGAGAGGGAAAAGCCACATACAGACAGAAAAAATTTTAAAATAAAGCCGATACTTAAAAAAAAACATGCAGTTGTGAATATGGCTGCAGATTTAAACATATCTATAAAACAAAATTTACCCAGATACTATAGTATAGTAGACAAAATTACAATACAGAAAACATACATTAATAATAAAATTCATAACATAGAAGGGAAAAAAGCGCACACAGAACACAT